GACCTGTCTTTTATTGTTTTATGGAATAATATAAAAATTCAGTTTTTAACTTATTTTATTTTTGCATTTGAAGAGATAATATATCATAAAGGAGGTCGTATACTTAAAATTCAAAAGCATTGAACATCCCTCTTATTGGGGAAATGAGGAAGTATCACTTTTTTAGCCTTTTTATTTGAAGAAAATGAATCAAGTGTCTCAAATAGACTTAAAAAATCTTGAATGTAATTCTTACCTGATGAACTTTCCAAGTATTTTGACTCTTTATGTATCTTTTTAACAGACAATTATAGGAGATTTTCAGAAGGAACAGAAAAAATTTGTTGAGGAGCAGCATACAAAGAAGTCAGGTATGGTATAGGTTTGACTAACTTAACCTGCCAAGTTTTATTGTGTACCTATTATGTGCTAGACACCATGCTAAAGGCTCTGAGAATACAAACGTGCATGCCTGACGGCCCCCATCTTTTGAGTAGCACAAAGACTAGTGGGGGAGACAAACTTATAAACCTTCGGGGTTTAAAGGAAGGGAGTAAATTGTTTTCCGTGGCTGGGATGGTGGGTGAGGTCAGCCAGTGATGGCCCACTGGATACTGGTTCTGAAAGACAGTTAGCTTTCGTTTCTCACTTTCTACCACATGCCCAGCATGATGTACACCTAATAGGCATTTAGTAAGTGTTGGCTCCCTTCCTGTTCTCTTCAGGACAAAAAACCAGAAGAGCTTTCCAGGGGAGTGACCGCACCTGCAGTGACTGAGGGCCATGAAAAGTCATGGGTTTTCAATACGTTTCTTCGCTGACAAATGCCTGTTTAAATGTTTGCAGTTTATAAGGTCCCAGAATGCCTACTTTTACTGTTTGGTGGTACCCAAACACAAAACCAGCTTTGTGTTTTTGGGTTTGGCAAAAGTAGTATAAAACAATTCAGTTTGAACTGTGCCACAGTTAGTTTCCATCAGGCATTGTCACGCCTAGATATACTGCAAACTGTGAAGCAGCTATACAAGTTAGCATAACTTAGTGATTATTTGGAGGCAGTGAAATCGATCCTGGCTTGGGGACTTGCTGTAGGAGCTGATGCCTCTGAGATAGGAACTGCGAGGGAGTAGGGGTGAAGGTTTGGCGGCGATTTCGGTTTTGAGGTACCTGTTAGACATCATGGTGAGAGGAATATGCGCAAAGGCAGGGAAGGGAATGCAGGTGGTTTACCTGGGGAAAGTTCAGTTCCTTAGTCATACTAGCCACGTTTCAAGTGCTCAGAAACTACACATGGCTAATGGCTTCTGTATTGGACAATGTAGATATAGAACATTTTCATCATTGCAGAAAGTTCTGTTGGTCAGCACTGCTCTAGATTAAATGAACAGCCTCCCACAGTGGACTTTTCCTGTTTGAAGCATGGAGGAGAATTCAATCTATTGATGTAGATTATGGTCGAATCATGTAAAAACCGTGAGAGTAGGTGAGCTCCTCTGTGAAAGTATGTCAGGCATCAAGGGAGATAAGCAGAAGATCTGCAGTGTTTAGGGAGGGGAGGAATGGAAGGATTTGACGATCGCTGAGTGCCTGCTATGTAGCCGGCATATATATAGCATCTCATTTAATAAAGGGAAGATGATACAGTCAGCAAGGTTAAGTAATTTGCTGAAGGTGCCCCAGTTGGTAAGTAATGAAACTGAAATCTGCCTTCAAAACCAGTGCCCATTCACCCAAGAGAGGACACGTGGGGGAGAGAAGCAGCAGAAGCCCAGAGAGGGGAGGATTTCCAGGAGAGCACAATCAGCTGTGGGAGAGATGGCCAAGAGTTCCAGTGACTGTTCACTTCATGATCACAGTAACGCTATGAAGTATTTTCCAGATAAGGAAACTGGCCTAGAGAGAAGAGAGCTAAGAAGTGTCCTTGGGGTTGGACAACCAGGAGGTTATTGTTCACTCTTAAAAGAACAATTTCAGAGAAACCGGGAGTGGGGGTATCTCACCCAGACCAGTAGCTTGGGCCTCAGGAGGACCTCATTATGTGAGGTTAAGTAGTGCTAGGAGAGGCTACCCAAGGTGAAGACACTGGCAGTGGAGATCAAAATGTTATAGTAAGTTTCGGGGACTTTACCCTAATTTTTTCTTTAAAGTGTGAAAATATGTTTATATTTATTATCTTATCATTAACAGAATTTGGATTATAATTGCCACCATTTGCTGGCTTGGGATGAACCAAAGAATAAACTATGGGTTCATCTGTCTGCCCATCCTGTGTCCCTCCATGCATGCACGTAACTTTTCTCACAATTGGTATATGATGTGTCTTGCATTTGATTCTTGGAGCATAACAGTAAAAGGGATTATTTCCACCAAAATGTTCCAAGACAGCATTCTTTTCCCCAAGGGCCTATCTTAATTGCCCCTTTGGTTTTCAAAGGGTTCTCTTTTAAACCACTTGCTGGGTCACCAGCCTAGCTTCCTTCAGCTGGGGCTGTCCTAACTGCCAGATCCTTCTTGTCAATGGCTTTGCCGTGATTCAGGCAGTTCTCCAGTGTCACTTTTCTTTGACTTCATGAGAAGTACCGTGCGTTTTTGCTAGATTTGCCTTTTCACTTTGTGTTGTGAGACCAGTAGGGCTAGAATCCAGTGTTAAGACGGGAGAGGTGATTGCATGGAGTCATGAACTAGTCCCTAGTACACATTTTTGTTTTCCTGGTGACTCCCGCTTCCCGTCCTGATCTTGCCATTGTGGGCTGCTGAATGCAGGGTATTAAGGAGCCCCTGCCTATGTGTCTTCTGTGCTGATCTCCTAAATCCACAGCTTTCACTCTGCCCCCGTCCCTGCTGCCCTCCCCCTGCACAGTTCTCAGGTGGGAGAGATCCTCAGATGAGTCTCACATTCGTTGTTGTTTCCACTCTGAATACCTCCACCCCCATCCACCACTCACCTCTTCCTTCTAGTCCGAGACTGGGCTCCCAGGTCACCACAGAAAACCTCATGGGTCCCACCTCTCTAGGGGGCTGCCATTTGTCTCCTGGCATAGCACATACAGGGCTGAATTCTCATCACCTCTGTGTTGTGAGCCCCCAGGAGACATGGGCTAGGTGTGAGTCTTCTTGACATTCCCCGTATTTAGCTTCTAGTGGCTCGTGGAGGGTTTCATTCCAGCCCTGTCCATTTCTTTCGTGTACTTTCACTCCCGAAAACCCTTGCATGCTCTCTCCAGCCTTTGCTCTGTGTCTTTTTTTTTTCCCTGTTCCATCCAGTATGCATGACCTAAGAATTAGGGATATTCTCTTTCATAATCGTAGTACCATTAACAGCATTAGGAAATTTAACATTGATATAGTACTTTAATCTATCATTCATCTATTACTTTTGTCAGTTGACCCA